TCACAAATCTTCTAACGATTGTCGAAGGATTGATTTTTCAGTAAAAAATAATCCATAAGTATCGCTAACCCCACGTGTACCGTTCGCACCAAAACGTAACTATCCGTAAACTTTCCGCTAGAATACGTAAATGACTCGTAAGCTAAAAATATAAACATATTCACAAGATGAATAAATACTTACTTTACTGTATCATTAAGGACACGGTTTCCATTGACAACGAAATAAAACTGTTCCACTTAAAATGATAACTTACCAACATGACCAATAACATTTAAAAAAGAAAAACAAATATCAGGGAGGTTTGTAGCCATTGATTAAGGATTTAATGCATTTTGGCTATTACAATGAAAAGTGTACACAAAAACTTCATAAGTTTAAAAGTCTTAATCATTATATATTCAACAAACTGCATAGCGTTACTTTCATTACTGTTTACGAACAAAACTTTGTTTTCGGAAAGAGCAAATCGAAGTTATCAATACCTTGTCGGTTACCATTCTATCCTGTATACAAATAACATTATTTTTTATCATACAAAAAGTATAATTTCATTCATCTCTTTTCAAACTAAAATAAAATGGAAAATGGAAACGGGGAATGATTAAAGAGACAACGACCAGACCACAGAGCAGAAAACACCCCATGGCCACTATTGAGTCTTCAACACAGCGAGAAAATTCCGCATCCAGAGGCGAACTTCAACTGGCCCCTAAGCAATAATGTATACTAGTTTAGCGAGAATGGACGCCACACTAAACTCAGACGCATATAAATGAACCAAAATTAATAAAACATACCAGACTAACAAAGACTAGAGGTAAATTCTTGACTTGGGACAGGCGCAAAAATGCGGCGGGGTCAAACATGTTTAGTGAGATCTCAACCCTCCCCCTATGCCTCTATCGAATGTGGAATAAACAAACACACAGCACGACGCACATTAAAACTCAGCTTTAAGAAGTCCGAGTCCGATGTTAGAATAGATAACAGAAGAAACTAAATGAAATGACAATGATCAACAAAAATTAACAAAGGAAGGACTGTTATAAGTTACTGATATGCCAGCTCCAGACCTCAATTAAACTGATTGAAAGATTATGTCTTCATCATATGAAAATCAAGCACAACCCCTACCGTTATGGTTTTAGTATCATACCATCATAATATATACTAGAAGAACATAAGCCGTATCATGCCAACAACTCGTATTAGTATTGTTTCTCGGTTTTATTGAAAAGATAACTTGAATACAATAATCTTTCGAGATACATTTAAGTCTAAGATTGATTTGACGTCTGCATATAGATATAGGAAGATATGGTATGAGTGCCAATGAGACAACTCTCCATCCAAGTAACAATTTATAAAAGTAAACCATTATAGGTCAAGGTACGGCCTTCAACACGGAGCATTGGCTCACACCGAACAGCAAGCTATAAAGGGCCCCAAAAATTACTAGTGTAAAACCATTCAAACGGGAAAACCAACGGTCTAATCTATATAAAAACGAGAAACGAGAAACATGTTTATTAATAGACTTGCTGCATCCAACGACTTCTGCAAAGCCTTAAAGTTATCTCGTACTTCTTAAATCAAATTGAGAATGGAAATGGGGAATGTGTCAAAGAGACCACAACCCAACCATAGAACAGACAACAGCAGAAGGTCACCAACAGGTCTTCAATGAAGCGAGAAATTCCCGCACCCGGAAGCGTCCTTCAGCTGGCCCCTAAACAAATATATATACTAGTTCAGTGATAATGAACGCCATACTAAACTCCAAATTGTACACAAGAAACTAAAATTAAAAATAATACAAGACTAACAAAGGCTAGAAGCTCCTGACTTGGGACAGGCGCAAAAATGCGGCGGGGTTAAACATGTTTATGAGATCTCAACCCTCCCCCTATACCTCTAGCCAATGTATAAAAGTAAACGCATAACAATACGCACATTAAAATTCAGTTCAAGAGAAGTCCGAGTCTGATGTCAGAAGATGTAACCAAAGAAAATAAACAAAATGACAATAATACATAAATAACAACAGAAATCTATTTTGGACCTTTATATTGATTATTGCGAGTTCACGCTTTTTATCAAAGAATCAACACACATTTTTCAGATATAGATACTTATCTATTTTTTAAGTATGATAAGATATATTGCAACCATCGAAAATTTTATCATTTCTGAGACGTATTATTTCATTGTTTTAAGGTCTAGATAAGTAACGGCAACAGTAGTATACCGCTGTTCGAAACTCATAAATCAGATAAGGTCAGATAAGTAACGTATTAAAGAATAACCATTCATTTATTCATTGTTTCTCGAAATTGGTAACATAAAATTACATGATTTTAATGTTTCAGTATTTTTTTCATTGAAAAGTGCGTTGTCAAATTAGTCAAATAAAATTTAGAGGGCTGAAAATCAATTTCCCAAAATGTAAAAGAATATCAGCATACCAATGAATACCTTCCTATATAGTTCCAATATCTATTGGATTTTGACTATATAGGAAGGTATAAGATTTTTGTGTGTCTAATGAAATTATCTTTCTGGTATAAACGTAGCAAACCCCATGTTCATAATACGAATGTGTGCACATCATGAAGCGAGTACTCAATCAATCGTAATTCTACTATCGTCTGATAAGGCACTCACATGCAATTCCTGGTTGCTTATTTGACCCTTTCTACTTTGCAAAATCAGAGTACTAGATATTGAGAAGGGAACACATTAAACATGAAGTGACAGCTATTGACTGATTCTACTAGTGCTGCTCTTAAAGTGTCATAAAAAGGTGAAACTATATTATAAACCAATGTTTTTCGCTAATTTATAGTACTGTCAAAATGTCCAATGGTGTTTTCTTCTTCCTCTGTGGAAGACGTAGACGTGACACTTAAACATGTTTCTTCACCTTCAGAAGATTTCGTAGTACCTACACATAAAGTACATGTATAGACCCGTTATCGAAAAAATATAAAAAAGGGTGACATGAAGCATCAATTATATTGAACCGAGAAACTGATCATACGAGCCATCAACACCGACTCTTCCGAAAAAATGATAACAGACATATTGGCACCCATACCACATCTTCCTATTTATATAATAAAAATAAATGACTAACACCAACGTACAACTGACAGTCCGTTTAGCCTATTTCTAGCATTAATAGCACACAATGTGGTTGGGTTAAATCCGTTTAACATGCTGACATCCCCTCTATCTATCTAGCCTGTATGTCGTCAAACTAAAACACGCTTCTAAAACCTGCATAGAAGAGCTTCCAATAGAATGACCACTATCTTCAACATGGATATTAAATTGCGGTATATAGTTTCGAAAGCGCAGAATCAAATGTGTTCGTTACTAGAGCATGATAGTTGAGGTAGCTACAGCTTGCGAAATCAACAAATATAAAAATCAACACTTCAAACATGTTTCGTGAGATCTTATCAAAATTAATCAAAATAGAAAAGTTTTGTAAGGGGCAAGTAAGAATTTAAAATTATCTGATCTTCTGGAGAAAAAAATATTTAAGCTGACATAGTAAGTATATCACGTATGTTGTCCTTACTTTTGAATGATGTAAGATATTTCCCAAATTTAAATATATAATTGTTCAATGTTTTTCTATTAGCAAAATGTTACAGAAAAGAAGGTTAACAAATGCGGTATACCGTCTAATAGATTAAAACACAATATATGGTGTGCTTTCAGTGTTATCTAAGAGAGGAGAAAGATATCAAAGGGACATTCAAACTCATAAGTCGAAAATAAACTGACAACGTCATGACGAAAAAGGAAAAAGACCACCATACAAACAACATTACACAAAACACAACATAGAAAACTAAAGATTGTGCAACACGAACCCACCAAAAACATGAAACACTGGGGGTGATATAACGTAATTCGGAAAGGAAAACATACCGTGCTCCACTTGTATATACTTCGATCAATATCATTTTGACGATAACAATTATATATAGACAGCAAACAAGTACTTCAAAACTGACATCTGCTTTTCTGCAATTTCTATAAACTTGCGTTCAAATATGTAGCTGTTTTTTTTTTGTAAATAGTGAAAGAGCTCATGTCTATTTTACAAAAATTAAATGAGACGATTCAATAGAATATTTGAAGGAATGTGCTATCATTCACGAAAGAACCGTGTAAAGGAAACCATGTTAACGTGATACCTCATTCGTTTGTAAGATACATGGCATACGTTATCAATAATACCAGCAAAACGATCCCCACTTAAAGGTTAGAAGAGTCTTAACAGTTTTATAAATGGCCTTGTATTTAATTGACATTTTGAACTTTCTCCTTCCTTTAAGACTAGTATCCCAAAGGATAACTGCTATGCAAATGCTTACTTTTAATTTTATAAATTTCCGCTCATGATATCGTCTAAGGGAACTTCTTATTAAACAATAAGATTATATTATTTATTTTTAGCTGCTTCGTACCGTTTATCATACAAACGATAAAATTCTGACATCAAATAAATGAACCTTTAACCGACTGTGCTATATCAGATATTGCAAATATTGTGTTTTATACACAAATGCGGTTTCAAAAACTTTCAACGAAGAACGCTATAGAAATATGTGTCATACAACTATGAACAATAGAAAATCGATCAAACATATTTGAAAACGTGTGGTGAGAAAAGCCAAGGCACGATGCACGTTTGATTTGTATCAGATACTTTATTTTTCTGCCAGTGGTAGTTTTGAACAAGTTATCAACAAGTATCAAATGTCTTTACTGTGTAAATTGATACATTGAAAACAACAAATTCAGAACATCTGTAATTATCAAACATATCAAATGTAATTTAAGTAAAACTCCATCAGTTCATGTCACGATACTTTGTTTTTCATTTCATTGATGAATATGCATGACTCAGTTGTGTTTAGCTTATGTGTACTGTATGGTGGTGCCATGATTGGGGAGAGTCATGCTGGTATGTTATTTATTTTCATATCAAGAACCACTATTTGTTCTGTTTTTTTTTTTTTGGATAATAATATCACTTTATAATAAAAAGAAAAGACATTTGATGTGAAAGTAAGAAGAGAAAGATAAAATTATAATTATGACTACTTTTTAAATGGAATGAGCTTCTAATTAAATAAATAACAAACAGGCAGAAAAAATAAACACAATACACAAAACAAACGTGGACCATCGTTGCTATCAAATAATTATGGAAATTAAAAATTAGATAAAATATGGTTTTAAGGGCGACTAAACTGCCTACACACTTCGGATTAAAACAACCACGGATATGTTCGAATTATATGACTGCTTTAAAAAGAGGTCACTGTTAGAATTGATATTTTTTTTTCTTTTTCGTCTTTTAGAAAAATGTAAGTACCCATTTCGGAGAATAGGAGATGGCTGCTCCTTCATAAGTAAGGATAAAACGACTAAAGATAGAGCATCTGCAAGTGTATAATTTATTTATTTTTTGAAATATTCAATATTTCGTTTCAACTTGAACTGGCTACAGAGCGATATCGTTATGGCGAAATGAAAATTCCTTTTGCTTTGGTGTATTGAAATGATATTTTAATATGCATTAGAACTTGTGAACAGATTTTAACTAACATTTAAAAATTGTAAAATATTTAACGCAACTGCAAACATATTGAATGCTCAATACATGTACATGATGATATTTGTCTAAAATACGCACGTCGAAGGTCAATCTACGTCATTGTTGTGGCATCACGTAAATTATTATTTGTCTTCATGCCGAATGCATACCACTTCAACCACAATGAAATGCAAACAGATAGTTTCTAATTGGCAACAGAAAGTTTCGCTTATGTATCTTGATTATCTAAATAAAGTATGAGTTAAACTGATATTTTTCTTTATAAATGCAGCCGTAAAAAAGTAACACAACTTTTCACTGATTTGACCAATTTCCCTTGTTTAACCATGCATCAGTATAAATAAGAAGATGTGATATGAGTGTCAATGAGACAACTCTCCATTCAAGTCACAATGTATAAAAAGTTAACAATTATAGGTCAAAGTACGGCCTTCAACACGGAGCCTTGGCTCACAACGAACAGCAAGATATAAAGAGCCCCAAAATGACTTGTGTAAAACAATTTAAACAGGAAAACCAACGGTCTAATCTATATAAAAAACGAGAAACGAGAAACACATATGAACCACACCAACAAACGACAACCACTGAACAACAGGTATCAGTCCTGTTAAACAAGGTAATTTAGTATTTACTAAAACTTACAAGAAAGAAAAGATAAATCCATATAAGGACAAATATGATACAGGAAGCTGGAACCTTTGTTTTCAATATTTGTTCATAAAATTATCATCGGCAAATTTAAGAAGGTATTATATAAATCAGTCAATACCGGAACATTTACTATTGAGTTGGTGATACCATTGAGAACTATAAGTATACCAGCTGCCGTATGTTCCCTCCTAAATTTTTTTAAAACCAAAAGAATGATGCAAATTATTTTAAGTTTGAATAGCACTGGCAAATATGAATAAGATAGAAATGTAAGATTAAATCATATTTTCAATCAGCAGTAATACTACGTAATGTCTTTGAATCCAACTAAAACAATCCTTATGATTGTGTCGTCCTATAACAAACGAGAAAGCGAATCAAGATATGTCTGATTTTACAGGATTGTATATATACTGCCATGTTAATTGAGGACGTCCGTTAATGCAACATTTTACAAATTTACAGATTGTTGCCATTTCCACTTCTCATTGTGAAATTTTAAAACATTTTTACTTCACAAAATATTTTACAAGGCTTTGTGTTTACGGCGTAGTGCATATCTTGTCACCTTTGAGACTATGGAAGAGGCCATGTTGATGAAGTATGAACTGCAACAAATGAATACAGGTATATGCATTATTAAAGAGTTTTATTTTTTGTTTTCTTTGGTTGTCTTATATTGTAACACTGTGTCCTTACAAGATAGCCTGCAAAAATCGTTTGGTTTCAGCAGAAAAGAAAGCACAAGACACTTACATTAGGTCTGGAAAAAAAACTGACGGTCATGTCCAGTTACATTTCTTGCTTGAACAACATTTATTGTATGGAACTCGATTTCAAGTTTAACAATGTTAATAAATTTAATGGGCATTAGCTACTAAGTTGACAATAAAATTCAAATATAATTGTTTTTCCAAACATTTACGGAATTATAAATTATATTTCGTCATTAGCAGTCAGTTTTTGTTGAACTTTGTCAAAATAATCATTTGAATCCGTATTAAGACGGACTTCAATTTAACCCTTCAGTGGGATGGGCTACGAATGGGATAAGCATGTTTAGTTATGTTAAAGAAAGACCCTTTTTGTTAACAGAGTATGCTCACAAAAAATCATTCGTATACAAGTAAAACAAGCATTTAAATCGTTTTAATCCATAACATAAAATCAAACAGAAACATCGTCATTATACGACTTCACGTGCTTGTCTGCGTATTTAAATCTATATTTCTATAGAAAATAAGAAAATTTGGTATGGATGCCGATGAGACAACTCTCCAGCAGAGACCAGATTGCAGAATTACCCATATATTTGCAATTGGCTAACCACTTGATATCGCGTGACCGACCTTTAGTACTATTGTCAAATTAACACTCCCCTACCAAAGCGTGTTTGCCAAGAAATCGATAAAAACTGACATTGAAAACATATGAACTAAAAAAAAAAAGATTGATAAAGATTTTGTCGAAGCTTATGTCAGTCAACTTACGAAATATGACCGAAAAATACATATTTTTGTATTCTTCGTTACGTATAGCTGTGATGACAAACGTCATTGATTTATCATAGCACAATAAAAAAATCAAAATATTCATTTAATATTTTGAGTTTTTCTTCAAGGTTTAAGTTTCTTTATCGGAGGGCGAAACATCGACTGATACGTATCTGACGGAGACTGGAGATAGGTAAAAAATGGCAAAATGATCAAGATGACGTACAAAGCCTTTGGCGCTGGAGAACCTGACTTAAATAATTCTAGTCCACAAGACTGCATGATGTTTAGGGCTACAGAGAGATTTGCTTTGAGATATTCTGTAACAAACCCGGATGGACAGGCGGCTGTATTTGTGAGAAATGATTAAAAATAAAAACTATTTTTATTATTACGTTGTTGTTGTTATTGAACATAGATAAAATTAAGCCATTTAGTGTTATAAAAAGTAAAATAACAAAAATACCGAACTAAACGGAAAATTTAAAACGGAAAGTCCCTTATCAAATGGCAGAATCAAAAGCTCAACCAAATCAAACGAATGGAAAAACAACTGTCGTATTCCTTACTTGGTAGAGACATTATCCTTTGTAGAAAATGGTGGATTAAACCTGGTTTTAATTTATTGCTAGCTTAACCTCTCACTTGAATGACATACAGACATTATAGGTAAAAATGACAAAAATTGGGGTACAGCAGTCAACATTGTGTTAAAAATTTTAATCCCTATAAAAACAAACGTATAGACACTCTAAAGACAAAGAACATACGCAAAAAATAAAAGACTAGAATACAAAAAATAACCATAGCACAATAACACAATGACGGGATGTATAAACACCGAGCCTTGCCAAAAGGATATTACCAAGTATGGACTAAATAGTAAAGGTTAACAAATAAACAAATACAAATCAGAAGAACACTATAACACGTTATCAAGATGATAAACAACGTCAGTACATAAATCTAAACTTCATGTCTTTTGTGTATTGCTGTAGAAAAGTTGGAATCTTCATTGATCAACTTTTAGTATATGAAGTACCTGTTGTGTGAAAATCATTACGCAAAGTAATGTCATTACATGTTTTGAATTTAATGTAATTTCATAAAAATCCGATTTGGACAGTAAGATAATACAGCATATTCGATTAAAGTCACATACCTACGAAATGCTTACTCCACATGAAGGACCCAACTATACAATGCATATGTTGTGCCATTCATAATTTGTACGAATTTTTCTTATTATGGATACATTTAAAGAAAAATACATTGATACACTAACAAGTCCTAATTGCATTTTGTTTAAAGTTTATGAAAAACCATAGAGAAGAATTGTATAATTCTAGATGATAGTAAATGACAAAATTTAGATTAATGAAATAGATAGAAACTGTACAAGTACAGTTCTAACCCTTTATTCAAACAGGTCAAGCTCAAAAACATATTCAACCCCGCCACATTCTTTATCTGCATGTCCAAAGTCAGTAGCCTGAAGTTCAGTGGTTGTCATTGGTTCAAGTCTGTTCTAATTTGTGCGTCGTAAATTGTATTGTATCAATTTGGCCGTTTGTTTTTTCGTTTGAATTGTTTTCTATTTTTCACATGGGGCTTTTTTATAGCTGACTATACGGTATAGGTTTTTCTCATTGTCGAAGGTCGTACTTTGATCTATAATTGCTTTTATCTTCATAATTTGAACCTTGATGGATATTTAGTCTCATTGGCAATCATATCACACCTCCTTATTCTTATATAAAGAACGGATATAATACAGGTCGAAAATGTATTACGACTGTTTCAGGCTGGTCAAGCACTATTTCAGACTTTAACTTATGTTCAAAATTAACGTCGAGGAACAAATCAGTTATAATGGGAAAAACCCTCTCATTTTCAATAAATTGATATTATATTAGTATGTGATATAAAGACATACATTTAACCATATGTTATTTACATTCATTTAGAGGGAGACATATAATAGTATGGCATAGTGCTTGCAAAAAATAGGTAAAACATACAAATTGATATGCAAAACTCATAATGCGAGAGAAACTGATATCACGATGGCAAGAAGAAAGAGGAAGACAATACGAACAAATTTGATCACACAACACTACATAGAAAACTAAAAACTGATCAACACGAACCCACAAAAAAACGGGGATGATCTCAGGTGTTAGAAACAATCATTTAAAGGAACTAATATATATTATAGATTGTGACTTGGATGGAGAGTTGTCTCATTGACACTCATACCACATCTTCTTATATTTATATAAAGTTATATTAATATAAGGAATCTATAAACCAATATTATAATTGGTTTTATTTATTATTGTTCTAAATATATTTTATCTCTGAAAGGCCCCAACATGACAAAGTGAGACAGCCTGCCAACAAAGTAAACAAAAAACATATATGAAAGACAACAACTTACTGCTGAATTATGTTTTACTGTACAAATGTCTATTAAACAAATGCTTGCATTGTCAGCGATATTTGATAGAATTAAACCTTCTTATTTTGATTGTGTTATTTAATTGTTATAATACTTTCCAACAGTAAATATATGACCTTGTTCTCGGTGAAACAATCTTTTCTACAAATCTATTCGTGGGGAAAGTTTTTAAACAATGCTGTGTATAATTCAAGATTATTGTTAAATATTATTAGATATTTGCATTGCATATACTATGCAGTTTATCATTTTGTATCTGACTTTTAAAAACCTTCATGACGACTATTTAAAATCAATTCAAAATTGTAAAGGGATAAAAAAAAATTGATTAAAAGCGGTTATAAACGTACTGTAATCTGATTGCAATCATACATATCCATTAGTTAACTCGTTAACCAATTTTAAACTGAAACGGCATTTTCTTTCTCAACATCCCAGAGTCGAATTTGTTTATTTTTATTTTTCATAATCAGAAGTGAACGTGACGAAAGTTTAAGTAAAGGAGGAGAGAAAATTTTAAATAGTATATGATTGATTGTTTTTTCAAACCACCAACAGAAACAATTTTTTTTTGTGTCATGTGTGTCTTAATTTGTAAGATTTACTGGAATTATTGCAGATAAAGAGTGCCGGAGGCAAGCAGTTGAATGTATGATTTTAAAATTTTCGACAGATTTTTTTTCCTAGGAAAAAAAGGCAATACATTTTAACTGCTTGAATTGTAAGACTGATAAGTAATAGTATCAATATTGAATAAAGGAACATGAGCGGAAATAATAAAGGTGTTTTATTGAAAATATTTGCAACATGAAGAAGGAATCATCTTCCCAATATCACCCATTGTTTATATGTCATCATTAATAGCACTAAAACATGTTTCTTGAACTTAAAGTAATAGATGTTTAAATCATTTATGTTGAGTAATGTAAGAACAATGATAAAATAAAAAAAAATCAAATTTGCATTGTTACATGTATACTACATACTACTCAAAACTAACTGAATGATTTTTACTGAAAAAAATGACTTCGCTGACCACCTTCTGTTTTCATATGTATGTGTTATTGAACGGATAATGATTATAGCAATAATATATCATTTAAAACAGCTTGTGGACAGGTTATCGTGAAATGATAATTTTATCATAAATCTTTTGTTTGAAGCTTTTACGTTCATTCTATACATTTATAGGCCTATTTCACAAATTGCTTGCTGAATGTATCTCTGGAAATATGCATGATGTTAACCGTATTGTAATTGTAATCAAAGATTTGTTGAAAAAAAAAAAATTTAAGTAGAATATGTTTTAACAAGGCAACGAAATGATTGGACAGAATAAAAAATTGATCATAATGGATGGTAGTAAAAACAATGAAACAACCTAAAAATAGGAGAGTGAAACCATCCCGCTCACTCCATCCCCCTTTAAAAAACGAATTACCGAGGAAAGAAAAAAGAAAAACGACAATGCATAAAAGCATGGTATGGAACAAAAGTTATTCTGTCTGATTCTGTTGACATGTGTTATTTATTTGAATCTTTTACTTAAACCGTTTAATTTCCTCTGTTGTGACATTTAATATGCATTTAGTAAAATCTTAAAGGAAAATCTTTCAAGAAAACTATTCGAACTGTTTAGGAGAGGAAACCAAAAAAGATCGAAGATTATGCATAAATTTCAAAAACAATACAGGACAACAATAATTCCTTCAAAAAAGTGCTTCATTATTTTTCGATTATGGACCTTTTGAATAACAAAAATTAATTGTAATCTATTCATCTTTATATATACTCAGTCTGTAATTATTTGATCATGTGAAGTTGACCATAACTTTATACAAGTTTAGTTACAAGCAAGGATTCCAAAATCGGAATTATTTCGATAAATCATTTCATAGTCCAGCTATGAGAGATCGAGCGTAAGAAATGCTTTTCATTAAACGTACTACAGTCAAGTAGTCAATTTGGAGATACAATAAAAACGAAAAAGTTTGGTCTCCTTCCTCTCGACTACAATGACTTTGTATATAAAGTATAACCTTATCAAAATGTCACTTTCAAGTACTTTCCTTTGGATTAAGTTAGAAATATGACAGAAATAATTAAACTTGAACGGTTAGGTGAATTAGTTTTTATTCTTTTACAATGAGATCAAGTTTCAACCTTTTTCTAACATATTTAAGAAATGTTTGGTATAATGAAACTTGAGCAATTCTCTCAGATTTTTGCTGCATATCTTTACCTCAAATACTCATTAGATATATCAATTTGGGGAATACATCTGATACAACAAATAACATCAAATTGGCCGATTTCTGGAAGAGGAAAATATAAAAACTACTCTTTTCCCGACCTTTTGTTTTTATGTTTATTATACCAACATGTAAAAAATAAACATAATGATCATGATTTTAAACTTAACAAGTTGCAACTTTTGTACACTGCAAAGAAAATGAACACATTAAAAGACAATCTTGAAAACCAACAACAACTTTTCTGGGAATAAGAATCTAAAAACTTCATAATTACTTGGTCACATCTAGGATAATCTATGATACCTTTTCAGTACCCTTTATGCAGGGATTTAAGTAAGCATATTCTTTTGTATTCAATTGTAAAACTGAAAACCATTTTAAAATAACGCGTTGACAAATTTGATCTTTTATGAATGAAGTGATGGTTTAGGTCAGTTTGGGTGTTCCACTTACTTTTCTATGTATTTTTTACAAATCTTGGTTTCAAATCTTACATATTTCGCGCGTTCTTGGTAAACCCAGAAAAGCGCTATGAATGCACAAAATGTATAAAGTGTTTTTTTCGCCTTATACAAAATTATTTTACTGAAACGATATCATATCATGGATATTAAGACGACTTTAAAACAGACCAAATACTGTGGAAAAGTGTCCAAAGGCAGACAACAATGTTTT